CTGAATTTATTTCAAATCATTCTGCAACTGTTTGCCAGTGATAAAGGCAAACAAATTTTCTGGCTTAATATGGTCTCTGAGAAATTCATTTGGATGGGGACCAGGGCCTGTTGCCTCACACCACTCTTCAGCCCATGTTTTTTGTACAAATCCAAACATGTAGCAAAAGGAACTTATGGTATAAACTTGAATTTCACAACAGTGTGTGATGGATCTGCAGTATCACAGCCCTCCAAATATCAATGTTGTTTTGACAAACAGTAAAATCCAGCGCTGACACAATAAAGAGAAATACAGCAACAAATCAGTCCACAGCAGGGAAACAACTGGACAATGGCTACTCTGACTCACAATAAAAAAGGCAAAGCCCTGGAAAGCATTGAATCAATTCACTGTTTTTCCATATTCCTGCATCCTAACTCAAACCCCAAAAGCAACGTAAGGTTCTCAAGCAAGGCTGGCTCTGGCCTGTGTGAACGAGCAATGAAGCTGCTCCAGGCTGGAGAGAGAAATTTAAAGACTCTTTTTAAAATAAAAACTTGAGAAGTGCTGGAAGATGCAATGCAAAGCGGAAGAGAACATAATGAAGGACTGGATTTAGTAAGGACACCGTGGCCGGACATTCCTGTTCCTGAGAAACAAAAACGTCCCCAAAACGCCAACGATCACAAGGTTGTTACATAACCAAAACATCCGTCAGAGCACGAATCATTCACACAAGAATCAAAAGCTTCTGATTCACAAATATTGAGTTCACACACTTGAGTAGCTCCCACAAACACACACAGAGGTGGATGGAGCTGCTCCACTGGCAAATACATTGTGTGCAACCCTTGCTGCTGGAACAAAGCATGCCTGGTCTTTACATTTGCCTTTCAGCACACTGGTTTTCCTGTAAAACCAGTAATTTGTCTTACATTGGCTTGGATTGGCTTAGTTCCATTGGCTCACAATTCCAGCAGGCTGAGACTTTGCAGCAGATTTAAAAATGGTGGAAACACAAAAGCTTTCACTTCAAAAAGTTCATCAGGTTGGAGGAAATCTCACCACTGGAGGCAAAGAGAAGAGATTGGACATGGGGATGATGTAAGAATTCCTGACCTTAGCACAGGAAAAACAGGAGGAAATACTGGGATCTGGAGACAATAGAATAATCAGCCCAATAATTAAGCTGATTAAGACCCTGATGGCCATGCTTGCTTAGCAGAAATCAAGACCAAAAATACTGACCCCACTACTGCTTCTGCCCTAGACAAAAGTAAATCACAACTATTTCAGGCAAAGGAGAAACTGGAATGTGAGCTGTGGGTGAGGGTCAGCTTGGGGCAGGGGACACCCAGGGACAATTCAAGCCACCCTGCCTGGTCCCACCAGCCAAACCCAGGGCAAGGTGAGATTTGAACACCTGAACCAAGAGAATAAATGAAACATTTTGGGAGGCAGAGGCTGACGCCTGAGCTTGTACACCATGCAATTTCACCAGGCACAAAACCAGCAGCTCTTCCTGAGTAACAAGGGGAATATTTGCATTTTCTTTCAACGGTGCTGGCTGGCAGCTCTGAATTTCAACTCCTGGGTGTTTTTAAGGCAGGTTTTGCATCAAAAGCTTTCCAGAAAGTTTCATATTTCAATGCAAATGTTGTTAATCCTCCACAGTAAGCCTGTAATTAAGACACTGATTCCACAGGGTGCTGCAGCACCCAACAGTCCAGATGAGGTTTAAAGACACCCACCCACAGCAGCCACAACCTCCATCAAGTTGCTTCCTAGCTCCGAGCCTGAGGTGGAAGGCACCACAGATATGCCATCTGCTCCTGGCATCCACCCTTAGGGGACACCAACAGCCCCTGAAGAGGTCAGGAACTGGTGAAACACCACATCCATGGCTGCTGCATATGCAAAGCATTCCTTTCAGGGGACATGGAGTTAGTCAACATGCAGCTAGTCATCAGAGATGAATGTCCAGTGCCATAATTAGCTACAGAATATTCATTAGCTCTTTCACTTGGGGAAAATAGAAAGTGGTGGACTGTGCACCTCCTTTTTTCTAAAAAAAAAAAATAAAAAAATAAAGTAATGTGCATGTTTTATTCAGTTCCCTAAATTTTTTTGAAGGACATTTAATCTCTTCCTAGGAGGACTTAAGTCAGAACACAGAACTGCAACCTCATTTTGTGAGATGGATACTCCAAAATTCAAATTCAGCATTGACTTGATAGCAGGCAGCTGGAAGTGGAGGATGTCAGGGGATGTTAAGGGATGTCAGGAGCTAGGTCTGAGGCTAATTCCCAGCAGCCTTCCTTGTTTTTTGCCCTGATCATTTAACAGACTGTTTTTCTTACCAGCACCTATGAGGCAGAAGAGCAGCCCCAGGCTTTGACTGCAGACATCCCTGCTCGGAGCCTGGAGCATGAACCAGGCTGAAGGGCAGGTCTGGAGCTGCTCCACAGAGCAGAAAGGCAGAGCAGAAGCAAGTTAATCCACCCTGAAAAGGGGGCTGGCAGTGGGGCTGAGGGCCAGAGCTCCCCTCCCTCAGAGGTGCAAATACAGCTTGTTCTGAGTCAAACCTTTCCATGAGCTGCCGCTGCCCCACTCATCCCTGTCTGCTCAATATTCATGAGCCAATGACGAACACCAAACCCATCACTTCAGTCCTCAGACAGGATTGGAAGGATTCAAATATTTATGCTGACTGAGAGCTCATGCCCCTCACATGCCTCCTTGCCCCCACCCTGCTTCCCTCTAGAGCAGGACTGAGCATTTTCAGTCCTCACTTCCCTGGGCAATACGTGGATGTTTGATGCAAGAGTTTCTCTGCCTTGCTCACACAGAAGTCCCACCTGACAGCAGCTGCATTGCCACTCCAGCAAGGAGCAGGGGCTTAGGAGCAGATGGGACATGGGCTGATGGGGTTCCTGGACAGTACAGAGTACAAAGCAACACTCTGGGCCAGGCCCTTGGAGCAGGGGAGCTGCAACTGGGAACAAGGATGAGCTTTGCCAAGTGAATCATTCCTTCCCCATCCCACCCTTTTGGCAAAGCCAGCACCACCTTCCACTCCCAACAAAGGGCATTGGCAGCGCTCGGCCAGGGCAAGGATGTGACCCTTTGCTTACAAGAAGCAGATTTTCTGCTGTCCCCAGTCAGCCACCACAGCCCAGAGCAGGATCAGGATCTCGTCTGTCCAGGGACACCACAGATTCCTCCCCAAGCCCCTGTGCCCTGCACAGACACAGCTACTGCTGACCAGACCATCAGGCAGAGTCCTCAGCTTGTCTGGTACAGCTGGAAGCCACAGAGAGCTGCACAAAAAACACCTTTCTCCTCAGTCACCTGCATAAAGGCCATTAAAATTAACAGAATAATATAAATCTGCCATTGTTTCTGCTCAGCACAGAGGGAAAGCCAACCATTGCTGACAGGGGTGGCTCAACAAGGTTTATATTGCCCTGGTAAATGCAGAGGCTGAAAGTTGCCTTCAGTTCTGAGCAGCTGCATTATCCCATCCAGGGAACTAATTCAACACACAACCACAGAATTACATTTATGTTTAAATCTCACTGTTGCCATCACAACCAGCCAGACTTTCAAAAAAAGTGAGACCTGCCCCATTGCAGACAGATGTGAATTTTTCACATTCTTTCTCTGATTTCCTCACCTAAACATGAGGGGAAGGAAAAGCAGATTCCTCTCCTGGGGCACGTCTGACCACCTCAGGGGAAATGAGGGATTTGTTTACAGGCAGGAGGAAGCAGCTCCGGGGTTCATCTGAGCAGAGGAAGCAGAGGCAGTGCAGGCAGCCCAGCACTTGACCTCTGCTACCAATACAGTCGTGCCAAAGGCTTCTGCCCTTTCAGTGTCTGCTGCAAACAGCTCAGATAAAAGCACAGGGAATTATCCAGCCCTTCCAAAGAACCTTCTGCTGCAGAGCCTTTCCCTAAGCCATAGTACAACTGACCTGGGCAATTAACAGTGAAGCCTCTCCAGCCCAAGCAGCTGCAGAGGAAAATATCTATTTGGCAGCCCTGAGACCAGGCAGGGAGTGAGGGGGAGGGAGAGAACAGACTGAGAGATGGATTCTCACATTGCTCTTAGCATCTCCAAATATCTCTCTCTTCCCTAGATTATAATTTTCTCTCTGAGTCAGGGTTGGAGAGGCAGCTGAGCATCAGCCAGTGAAGGGGCACAACCCTCCCCTGGGTTTCCACGCCTGACACACGCCACTCCACACCCACAGTACCACCCCCGGGGTTTTAGTTCCTTTCAGAGTACAAAGAGTGGTTCATCCAAGCTTATCTCTTATGCAGCCCCAGCTCCCCCAGCACAGAATCATCCCCAAAGAATGTTTCAGTAATGCTGCGGTGCTGAATTTCAGAGGGACACTTAATCTTGCCCCGGTGGCTCTCCAGAGCCAACTTTCTGAGCATGAAATATTTAACTGTCCGTGGGCGTCCGATATGATAATAAAGTGACAGCTAACCAGCCACTGAAATAAGCATGTGAGAAGGAGAGCGGGAGCTATCAAATACACAAACCAGCCTAATTACTGTTCTTCCTTCCATCCCCACAAACCCCTGGGCACTGCTCACACTCCCCAGCAGCAGGGACCCAACAACACAACACTTCCAAGACATTGGGATAGTCAGCAGGGAAGAACTGGAAGGAGGAAATCAGGAGAAAGGTTGATGAAGTGCATTGTTATCAAGTCTTTCTCATTTTGGGGATGTGAAAACATATCCAGCTTGCCTAAAAGAAAGCAAGCCCTGTATTTGAGTAAAAAACTTTGAAACTGCTTGCAATTCTGCTACTCCCCCACTCCAATGAACTTTTATCTTTTGGCATTTGCAGGTTCCCAAGTGAGCACGTGCCTGTCGATGCCTTGTGAGAGTTTGCGGAAGCAATGGAACCCACCCAGGACCCCTGAGGGCAGCATGGCAGAGGGGAGCTCCAGCTGCACAGTCATTCCTGGCACAGAGGCTCTTTAGCAAGCTCAGCCTTACCTCATCCCACTCTGAAGCGAAGGATGGGGACTTCTCCAGCCGCTTCTTCCCAGTGCTGCAGTTGGAGAGTGATTCACTCCGGCTCCCCATGGCATCGTCCTCCGTCGGGGAGCAGGTCAGCAGGTCAGAGTCCGACTTGGACAAGCTGCGGCTGAGTTTGAGCTCGGCTTTGGGCTTGCTGCCCGGGTGGGCTCTGCCCACAGCTCTGTCCCCCTCTGGCTCAGCACCGCTGGGGTGCTGCGGCACGTAGGGCGTGACTACGGCCGCGGGATCCGCCCGGCTGACGTGCTGCACCGTGGCATACACCACTGTCTGCGTGGGGTCCAGGGAACTGCTCCGTGCTGGTCCTGACGAGGGTAACTCAGCATCCTCCAGCTGCATAGCAGCGGGGTGGCTCGTGGTTTCCGTGTCCCCTTTCTCCGCAGAGGAAATGAGCCTGAAAGGGTCCTCGCTTATCTCACAGATTGGAGAAGAGCCGTGGAGCAACCCTGAAAACTGCTCTGGCACCTGGATATCCTGGCTCTCAGCAGAGTCCTGGCTGCGGCTGCCACTGCTCCTCCTGTGGTCTTCAAGGGGATGAAAACAGAGAGGAGGGGGAAATTAAAAACATGGAAGAAGCAGCAGCAAAATTCCAGCTCTCTCCCTGCCCTCCCTCAGCAAGGGAGGGAGAGATAAAGAGAGAACAGTTCCGTATTGTTCCGTGTGCTCAACTTGTACCCAAAGTCATGGCATTTATGAAATTCCAAACACTGGCCCGATTTACGCAATCTGGCAGCTCTCCGTGTTTTTTATTCCTGTTAACACTAACTATCAGGCCTTGCTATATAAGGCCAAGAGAAGTGCTAACTATATCCTGCAGAGAGAGCAAGTGAGGTGGGAGCAGCAGAGACAGAGGCTCCTGGAACATCTGATCCATTTCCATAAAGACCAGAGTGTTATTTAGAGCCGTGCGCCTGGCTCTTGGCACGGGCTGCAGGGTGGGAAAACGCCTGGACTGTAATTGACCTGCCAGTTCCAAAATCCGCTCCCAAAAAAACCCACTGCTTCCCTCCCTAGTGGCTTCCGAGTTTAACCTCTCCTCCCTGCTCAGGGGAGAGAAATAAACAGTTTATGCAAGAAAAAAAGCTTGAGTAAAAAGTCTCTTTTGCGATGAACTGAGCACGGAGTGGTCAGAGCTGGTGGAGCACCGGCTGCCCCAGAAATATGACACTGGTCCCCAGCTACTCCTGCCCCAGCAGCCTTAATATCAGGTACCAGGGTCCTGCATAAACCATGAACAATTGACTGATCCCAAGTGCTTGTGAATTTTAACTGCTTCCATTTAGTGCTGAAGACTAAAAAATGATGCTGCAAGGGAACAATACAGTGAAATACTCCGATAATGAGGCTCTGAGGCTCTGAAGTGCAGGGAGGATGTTTGGATGTGAAGAGGAAATCACTTGCTTTGCAGACAGCAGCTCTTGGAAGCCAAGGCAAAGGAACCCTCCTTTCTGTGAGCAAAATAATGAGCTCTACTCTAACTAAAAGCAGCCTGTTAGCAGCAGCAGAGAGCCCAACTCAGCTCCCAGCACATTTCCAGCACCAAGCCTGACCAGGGGATTTTCAAACACCAATACCCACTGGGCTTTGTGGTCTTTCCTCATACCAGAAATGGGCAGGAAAGGGCTAAAATAGTCATTTGCCTTTGTGTGGGGGTCCCAGGTACCCCATGCCTGATGAGCATGGTGAATCCTTCTTGCAGGCACAGGAAGGCCAGGAGCAGCCACAGCCCTCAATGGGATCGAGTGATGCGAGGGATTATCTCATCCTGGATCCTATGAGTTAGAGATTCCAGGACAGTGAAGTAGTTGTTGACTCTCTTGCACAGGCACATAAAACACCACTTCTGTGACTGGAGCTGCCAAGGGGAAGGCAGGTCCCAGTGCTGGCTGAGAGGGACCAGCTCAGCACCCCACATTACAAGGCCAGACTAAACCCAGTTACTCAGCATAAAGCTCTAAAGCTCTGATGCTGGAGAGAAACCTCACAGGACAAATCTCAGAGGAAATCAGATGTGCTGCATTCACAGGACAGAGTGGTACTAATGCAAAGCCACAAAGAGGTGAGCACGACAGCAGTGATGGGACAGTCACATAAACCTGTGGGGAAAGATGAACTTTTGCAGGTTTCCTTCCCAACCTCTTCCCTTCCTTGGAAACTGTTTCTTCCATGCCCCGAGCCTTTACTGACATTTCTGCTAAAGGCAGAGAGGCAGCTGGCCAAAGTTTGTGCCATGTGCTGTAACACTTGAGTCCAGCCAGAACAAAGTGCTTCAAATCCAGCTCCAGCACCTCACAAAAGGACTCCTGTTGGACAGGAATCCCAGTCACCCACTCATCCATGAGCTGAAGAGGGACTCTGAAACACAGGGCAGCTGCCAGGGAAGGAAGGGATGGAGTGAGGGCAACAGCACTTGCTCAGAAGTTGTGAGAAACATCTTGAAGGAGACATTTCAGAGCCTGCCCTGAAAGCTGCAGACAGAAAAGCTAATACAGAAAGTCATCTCAGTCTTTTTGTCACTGAAGCGCACGCAGCAGGAACATGCAGAGCTCTCCACGCCTCTCCTTTTCGGGGATCTGAAAGAATCATTCCTCCTCCAGTTACATCTGAGTTACACTCAGAAAGGGTCCTTAGAACAGGGACTTCTGCCCAGCTCCCTTCATGGATTTCCAGTCCCTTCACTGTTTTACACCCCAGCATGGATCATTTGACAGATCCTGCCTTTTTCAGCCACAGCCTGATGCAGATCTCACCACAGAAGAGGTTGCTCCCAACCCTTCCTTGTTTCAGACTGTCTACACCCCAGGGAGGATTCCAGTAACAGCTTCCCTGCCAACAGCCTGAGGACTCCAGATACGAAACACTTCCCTAAACACTCTGTGCTAAGCTGTAACCGCCCTGCCTCCACTGGATTTCTTTCCCTATATATCAACAGCAGGATTTGTCTCATGACCCTGGATTAGGAGAATGAAGCTGTTCCTGCAGCTGCTGCCTGCTCAAGCTCCCCAACCTTAAAATTAGTGAGGACATACAGCACTCTGATTTGCACGTTACATCATGCCAGAATTTGTCCAGTGAGGAGCAGGCGAATCTCCCTCCTGTGAAACAGAAGGCCAGAGGAAGAAGCTGACCTTGAGGGGTGCAAAAAGATCTTTCACCTACAACAGAGCCAAATACAGGCCCATTGCACAGCCAGCTACCTGTGGAACCCAGCTGAGGATGGCACACTCCTGCGTTAACCTCACCAAGCTCAGTCATTCCAGGCAGAGTTTATACACCTGCCCCTCTTCAGAAAGGGCAATGAGACCCTGCTTAGAGAATATTAACAGGTCTGTCCTCTGTCCATGATTACACCACATGAGGACATGTAGGCTGTGGGTTTGTACTGTCCTTCATCTCACAGCAAACCAAGAGCTGTTCCCAAACCTTTGCCTGCAATAACCAAGTGTCCCCACAGAACTCCCACAGTGATGGCTACCCTGCTGCTTCAGCAGCCACATTCTGGCTCTCAGAAAAGAGCTTCTTTCAATCTCTCTGCAGCATTTTCTGACCTTATTGCTGGTTCATTCCAGCTCTCTGGTTAGCAGCACAGTCACACTGTGCTGGTTGAACCAGTATAACCACAAAGAAAATTTCTAACAAGAGGAAGGGCAAAGAGGGGACTTCAAGCTGGACCACCTATAGAAGCAGCACAGAACAACCTCAACAAGTATCAGTTTGTAATAACTACCAGAAGGCACCAAATCAGTCCTACCTGCAGCTGATCACTGCTGACAACACCTGGGTGTGACTCCTGAGAAGCCAAACAGGCCAAAACTCAAGTGTTTTCACCCTCCATTAAGTCTCTCTGGAGGCAGAGCTGAAAAGCCTCCTCCTGGTCACTCCACACACATTCCTCTGCTTTTCCCTTATTTTCACACCCTGTTAGAGGGCCTGAGTGCCCTGACTTCACACATGTGACTGCACACCAAAGTGGATGGGAGAGTATTTGGCTTAAGCCACTTCTGATACTCTGCCCAAAACATGAGGCCAACTTCTCCCAGTGCTCCAAGCATGTGACAGCGAGCTGCTCTAACAGACACAAAGGCCACCAAAGCCAGTGGATAATGCTACATTCATCTGCTTGCTGGACACAAGACAACTGGCAGCCAGAGGAACAAAGGCAGCTATCACAGATGAAAGGCACCATTAAACCCACTTGCCTGAAATTCAGCCTTTCCGCTGCCTTGAAACCCCTTTCAACAGCCACAAGAACCCAAGCCCTCCTCTCCTGACCAAATGCTGCTCCAGAACTCATGCAGAAGGCCAGTCCTTCAGACTGAGAGCCAAGAAGCAGTTCAAAGCCATGCCTGTTCCATGTCTTGAGTGATTGAGCTGCTGCCTTTGATGCTCCAGGACCCTTCTGACCCAGAGGTGGGAAAATTCTCCAGCACCCCAAGTAAGGCTCTGGTCTCTCCCTCAACTCTCCTGTTTAATTCTGCCACTCCTTAAATTTATCTTCCTTGTTACCAACACTTTCCATGGAGTGCAAACTGTGAAGTCACACTTTTGATCTTTCCAACTGTACATTAAAAGATGGGACTCTGCTCTGGATCTATAAAAGGATCCATAAAGATCTTCCTGCAACCTCTCCTGTCTTCAGGTGTTCAGAAAAGATCTGCATCAAGAATAGACAGCTGTGTTACTCTCAGGTTTTATTTTAAGCTGACACATAATTAGGACACACTGCCACTCTTCTCAATCAAGCCTGGACACAGCAGCCAGGGGAAGGAGTGGAGCAGTTGGAATAGCTCGAGCCTGAATAACCAGCAATAGCTGCCCACTGATGAAAGCCTGAAAGCCCAGGCTCAGTGGCTGCTGCACAAGGACTGTTCCTGGCCCAGACTGGCAAAGCACCAACCTGAAAAGCTCACAAAATTTGCCTCTGGCAGTGAGGGGCTTTGGCAAGTGCTGGTGGGAACACAATGACCTCTTGTGCCACCTTGGAGCAGCCAAGAGAGCAGTAGGACCCAAGCAATGATAGATATTATGCTGCAAGAAGGGGAAAAAGCTGCAGGTCTGACAAAGCAGTCAATGAGGCATCACCTCAAGTCCTTGTTAGCCCTGTCCATCCTCAGAGGGAGAGGGGTTCCAGTGTGAGAATTCAAACTAAATCCACCCAAATTCCTGCTCAGGACTTCTGAATAAAGCAGAAATCTTTTCCCTCTAAACAAATCTTTTGTTGTTATTGTTGAAGGAAAGCCAAAAAGCCAACAACAGCCAAACACAAGAAACAAGGTGTTCCCAGAGGCTTTGTAAAGCTCAAAGGTCCTTCCACGGAAGGAGAAGCTGCCTCAATATCAACCTGAGTACCCCAGTGGTCTCAGACAGTTCTAGTTCTTGCTCTACACATTTTTATTTTCCTCCTCTGTTAGTTTCTATCTCAAATTAGCTCTAACATAGAGCAGGATGTTGATTTTACAGCAGGATAGCAGAAATCTGCAGCACCAGCTGGATGGAGAACACGGCTCATTGGAACACTCGTGTTGCTCATCTTCCCTGGCAGAGGTACAGCCTCCAGCCTCTCACCCTCTGCCTTTGCTTGGCCAGGCATGAGATTTGGGCATTTCTGAGGTCACAGAGCAGATCCTTGCAATCTCTGAACTGTCCCACAGTGGAACTGCCCTTTCTCCCTGTACACTCTGTACAGGAACGCTCAGAGCTCTCCTTTACAGAGAGATTACCAGGAAACACAACAATCACCCTCCAGCCCCCACCCAGTAGAGACTTTCATTGTTTCATTTGCCCTCTGCCCCCCATGCTTTCCTGAAGTGCATGCAAGCAAACAGCTTTGCTTTTTGGATGGTCACTCACCTTTTGTTTTCCTGTCCACTGCAACTGGCTTTTTAGTTTCTGCTGTAAGCAACAGCTCGTAGGGGTGTTCCTCTTCCTCAGTTCCACTTCCCCTGCTCTTCCCCCGGGCAGCAGAGGCCTAATGAAGAACAGCACAATGTGGTGCTCTGCAAAGTAATGCTGTCCCAGCATAAACCCCACAGCCTCTATGCCACGGGTTAAGCAGAGGCAGCACCTTCACTGCAGAGCCAAAATGTAATACTCCCCTTTGGGCTTTTTTAACACCCCCAAAAAAACCCCACCCAAACCGCTTTAATTTTTAGTATTTCAGGCTGCTGACAGCTTTTCAGTACTGACCAACTGTGCAAGTTGGCTGCAGACAGCCTGGGAGGGAGAAAAGAGCTGAGACCATTATTCCTGTTCATCCCATCTCAGACTCACTGTTGCTACTGGAATTTGCATTGTCATTCACTTTTTAGCTGCCGGCCCTATTAGGACAGGGCCAAAAAGAACAAAAGCCCAAATCCCCACCACCATCTCAGGCATCTCAGATCTGCATTTGTGACCTCAGGATGTATGGCATATTCAGAACTGAAGAGTCCTCAGGAAGCACTGTATGAACTCAGTTTAACTTCAGGATGTGCAGCAGTGATTGTGCTCATTTAAATCCCTCAAAGCCTCTACTTAGAGTTGGTTTGTAACCCTGGCAGTTTCTCAGCTGGTCTGGAAAGCCACCAGCCATGTGCAGGGATGAGGTTTTGGGGCAAGATCCAGACAAATCTTGCTGCAGACTCGCACATGTTGGTCTGCATCAATGCCAAGGATGACAGGCACTGGATACCCTCATGTGCCATCCCAGCACTGAAGGAGCTAAACTGGCCCAGTCGGCTGAAAACAGCACAGTCGGCTGCCTTTCAGCACCATCTCCTGGCCAGATCCTGGCAGGTTGATGCAACCCTGTCCCAGGAGCTCAACGTGACCCAGGAATGCACCCTATGAGGTTCCAAGAGAGCTGGGGAGGGGCATGGAGTGAGAGGAAATTCTGAATGCCCTGGGAGCGTTCAAGGCCAGGTTGGATGGGGCTTGGAGCAACCTGGGTGAGTGGAAGGTGTCCCAGCCCATGAGAAGAGCTTGGGACTGGATGATCTTTAAGGTCCCTTCCAGCCCAAACCACTCCATGACCCCATGTGTGACTACACCCAACCACAGTGGGACAAACTCAAGCCAGAAAGCAAACAAGCTGCTGCCAGGACAGGGAACAACAGGTCTGAGCAAAATATGCCCCCTGGGAGGGCTCCTACTGCTCAGACCCCTGGACATGCCTTGTCAGCAGAGCACAAACCACCTCCTGCTTCTCCCCAGAGTGAAAGCATCAGAGTTGCTCCAAGGGCAAACCGGTGCCTACCTCACTGCAACCCAGCCAGGAGCCCTGGAAGCTTAAAGGAGTCTTGGATAGGCACCCAAGAGTCAGCAGCACAGACAGGATTCTGACAGCTATGTGCTGTTCTGCAAGAACCCAGCTAGCTTTTAAAGTGACTTTCCCAATGGGAGAAAATGGGCCATGTCCAACATGGAAAATATTTATTCTACCTTCTTTGAGCAGGAGCTGCCAGGTAGACCTGCTCCTTTCCAGGTGAAGGAGCTCATAATGAGCAAATTAGGGAAAAATTCTGACCAGATGGTGACACAAAACCATCAGACCAGAACAGCAGGTAAGAGGTTCTTGCCAGTGATCTTGGAAAAATCTTGTCCAGCAGCAGCCTGCTAGCACAGCAGCAGCCTGGACCTTCAGCCAGGCTCTGGTGCTCTCCTGACACTCCTGTGGATGATGACTCCTGTGCTGTCCTATTTAAATGCACCAAAGGCAGAAGCTCTCCAGCAGCACAGTTCCCAGCTGCTACTCTATGAACTTTCACAGGCCTGGTGATACTTGATTTTCTCCATTTCTCATCCTTCCAAGCTCTAAATAGTGTTTCAGGCTCAAATTCACTCAAAACAAAGACCAGTGCTGCAGAACCCTGCTTGCTCTCTGACCAGGAGCAACACCACCAAGTAAAGCTTTCATCCAATCCAGCTTTTAGTTCTTCAGCCATGCTGTTTGCATGTATAAATGTTCATTGCTAGCAAAGCCCAAAAATAAGATGCTGTGAATAATGAGGATGCTCTTTAAGGTGTACTTAATCCACCACAGAGGACTTTGAAAGACTTTTTAAAGGGTAACTCATCTCTTCCTCTCTTCTCCCTCCCCAGAGATGCAGACCAAACTCCAGGAGCCAACGTGGCGCCTTGTCCTTGATCTGAACTTCCCTTCCAGAGACAAGCAGTAAACAACTGGAACTGAAGTTTAATTTGACAGTGCAGACTCTTACTCAGCTCCAAACCCAGAAGGTTTCTGCAGATAGTGAAAGGCATCACTCAAGAACCTCCAAACAATTAGCTCCTTTGCCTGTTTGTACCAATGCTTTTCCTTGATGAAAGTGAAATTTCTTGTTTAGGCTCATCTGTTTTGACTGATAGCCGCAGCTTGGCAAGGAATAAAAAGACTACTTTGGAAAACCAGAGTTTGGCCCAACCCCAGAACACTCAATGACTAAGTGTCCTGGCTCCAATGGGAGAGTAGGGCTGGAGAGTGGCAGATTGGGATGCTGCAGCAGAATGTTTACAGCATTTCCAGAGCATGTGCACACCTGCCTGGCCCAGGGAGAGCAAGCTCTGAGGTGATAAAAGATGGGCAAGAGTCAGAAAAGCAGAGCAGGACAGGAGGAACAAGCAGAGTAAAAGGATCAACCCAAACTCCTCATCAGTATGTCCAAAAGGTCATTTCCTGTCAGCCACACGCTGCCTGTAAGTTTTGTCACTGAAGTTGGTCACTAATCAAGATCTCCCCAGCGAGTCACTCTGCCATTTGCCAGCAAGATTCCCTTTAATGGATTGTGCTTCCAAAGCCATTAAAGGCAGGACAACACAGCAGGTGTTTGGTAATTAAACATGGCAAGAAAGCTCAGCAGGAATGGTCAGAGCACGTTTCCCTCCCTCGTGTTTATTGTCATAAACAAGTTCTGCTTCCCAATTACTCCATGACCTGCTGCCCAGCTCTCCTCTGCCAGAGCCAGGCACAGGACTGGTCCCTATCCCCTGCATTTGAACAGCAGTGCAGGGATCAGTCCACAGTGTCACATCCCAGTTTCCCTGCTCACACACAGCTCAGAGTTAATTCCCTCTCTGCAGTCAGTTCTACTACAGCAGGCCATGTTCACCCATGTCTCATGTGGATTTCACACTCTCCAGAAAACAGATCCCATTTATGCCTCCAGCAGATCAGCACATTCAGAGAAAGCACCTGTGGAACCAGAGCCTGCTCTGACAGCAGAGGTGGCACACGCTCCACAAGCTTCACACACAGCCCACTGCCTTTGGGAGAGCACAGAAATCCACAGGATTTGGATTTGCTTTGAAGGTTTTCTTAGGTGTCAGCAGAAGTTGCCAAAGCACATTTGTGGTTTCTCACTGCCGTGTCTCCCAGAGAGTCCTTACATCTGAGGTTCACAGGCTGGTGAATAAGACAAGCAACAGCCCCAGCAGCAACAACATGAAATGAGAGAGCCTGAGCTCCATCGGAAAGCAACTCACATGCACTGACCCCTGCAGAAGGCAGCTTTAACACATGCTGGGACAGATCCTTGGCTGAATTCAAGCCCCTGATCCCTGCTCATGTCAGTGGGACCCACAAAACCATGAGCTCCACAGCTGGGAGCTCAGAGGAAGCAGGAACTCATGGCCCCTCTGTGTTTCAGTCCAACTGAAGATGCCTGTGGTGGGATCATTGCCAGTGAGCAATGGTCCACATTGCAATGTGGGTCAGAAAAATCTCTTCCTAAGGGAATTCTCAGCCAAGAATAGGAAAGTAAGGCTGAAGGTCAACTCTGAGGTGCCCTGGAAGAACCAGACAAAGGAAGTTCCCATGGTAAGGGACAGCAGCAATGCTGAGTGCTGGAATACTTCACATTCACAGCCCAACGAGCACAGGAGGTAACAGCATCCTTAGCTCCTCCCAAACTATTGAAACTGATGTTTAAACCACTCTCCCATGAAACACCCCAGAGCCAGCCCCATGTACCTCGCAGGGAGCACTCTGGCCTGTCTTCTCCACATTCTGTTCCTCCTCTTCATCAGGTGGAGGCTTGGCCGGCGGGGGAGGACGTTCTCTCTGCAGGTGAGACAGACACTGTCAGCTCATCCCTTCTGCCCCTACCAGCTCTATGTCCCCACTGCTGTGGAAGCAAGGATCTCTTCAAATTAATCTGGGTGGAGGAGAAGTTCAGCCCTAACAGCACAGAGCTGGGCAATGGCTGCTGCCTTTTATTCTCCTCCTCCTCAGGACACCGATCTGTTCACGCCAGTCTCACTCAGACCCAAACCAGTATCTCCACAGCATTACACACAGGAGTGAGCAATGAGCTGATAAGAAGAAAGGGTTTGCAGCTTAGTGAAACTGATGCCAGAGGCACCTTTTATAGTGGAAAGCTCTAGGGATCTGGAAACTATGCTGCACTGCTCTCCTCCGATATCCCGGGATTGCAGCTGGGCAGCTGGAGCTGCTGCCTGGTCTGAGCACATCCTGGGCCACCTCCTGCCCAGCCACAGCTCCATCTAATGGCAAAGGGAGCAGCAGAGCTGCACTGTTCAAACTCCAGAGAGCTACTGGGGCATGTCCCTCTTCCTGCTCTCTTTTCACTGCAGTTCAGCTCTTGTCTTTCCTTACTTGTGACAGAACTGAGCTCGTTTCACACCAGACACCATCAGCACAGGACAATGACAAGATCTGATCAGCAGCAGCACTGCCTGGTACTGCACACTTGAGAGATTTGGCCAAAATGTCCATCATCCAAAGTTTTTGTCTCATTTCTATTCTGCTTGCTGTCAAGCACAAGCCAAAGGCTGCACCTCTTTGCACAGAGGGGAACCATGGTTACTGCGCCCCCAGCAGTTTAATTGTTCACTGCTGCTCTGCCTTTTGTCCAAAAATGCCTCCACAGAGCAGGCTTTGGAAAACCAACCAGAACACAGAGCCTGAAGCTGACCTAGCACTGCAGGGCCTGTGTCCCATCTGCCCCACAGCAGCCTTCCTGCCGATTGCTACTGGGGCAGCAGATGCAGCTGACAGAAGGTAAGGAAGACTTCTCTGGGGACAGTTCCAGGAGCTCAGCACTGCCTTGTAAGTAGCCTGGAGTATCCTCTAGAGCTGTGCAAGTAATACACAAAAAGAAACCTTCCACTGCCAACTAGTCTCCAACAGGTTATTACAGATAATTTCCTGAGAGCCTTTGCTTTGGTAAAGCAGTGAGACATGAGAAGATTCTCCACACAAGTTTCCAGAACTGTTTTCAGAACAAGTGAGCCCTTCTACGAAATGCGATCTCCTAACAGATCACGATTCACCTGCATCAGTGAACTGCCAGAAAAACAGAAGGATACAGTACAAGGTGAAATGAAGCAGCAGCTGCTTTTAGGCAATCCCTGTGAACAGGGCAGGGAAGGAGAAGCACCTGCCTGCTCTCATCAATGTCAGGAAAGGATTTAAAGATTTCCTCAAGCTTGGGCAGCCTGCTGCAAAACCTGACCCTGGCAGATCAGCCCCCTGTGCCTCTAGGGCAAGCAGGGGTGAGCTACGTACAGGCCTGACTCCGGCTGCTTTGAGGCCACTTGGTTCAGTTTCTTTATTCACAGATTCCCGGTCGGACGATCTCCCGCTGGCCAGGCTATCCAGGGAGTGGCAGGACGTGGCATTGTACAAGGCTTCGTATGGGCTCTCCTCTTCGGGGTTCACATCGAAATCGATGATCAGCTCTGTAACAGCTTTGTCCACATCACCTGTGGGGGGAAGAGAGAGCCAGGATTGTCACTGGATCTGCTGACCTCGGTGCTGGCAGGGAGAGGAATGCTGGTGATACCTACCCTGAGACATCTGGCCTGAGGGATCAGTGGCTGGAGCGAGCGGGGCTGGAGTAGATTTCTCCACAGCTTTGGCACTTTTCTTCCCAATGGTGTAATCTGCAAGGGGGTTGGGGGACAGGGTCAGCTCACATCAAATCTGGTTTTCTGTCCCCTTCAGCACATGGCACTTCCTCCCTTGTGGGTGGAAGGCCAACTGTCAGCTTATTAAGCGTCAACAACAACAAAAAAAAAATTATTAAAACTTGCAGCTAAGATCCCAAAATAGAAGCAGGCGGCCTCTTTAATCACAGGCACAAGGGTAGGGATGGTCTTTTGAACTTTCAGAGTCTTTAATCAGAAATCTGCAAAGCTGCTGCACGGACACAGAGTCATGGAGCAAATCCGTGTTGTAGTCACAAACTCTATCACTGAACAGAGTCATAACAAGAGAAACCAATTCCAGCTGCAGCCCCCAGCCACAGGCAAATCCAGAAACATTCAGCTGATGTAACAGCCAACAGCAGCTCCCACCCTGGGAAAACAGCCTTTATCTGCAACACCTTCAGTTTTAAAGCCCATCTTTGTCTTCAGTTTCAGAATAAAGCTCAAACATTGCAGCCTCACAGGCACAACTTAGTTAAAAGTCTGAGACGTGCTTTGAACCTGCAAAGCTCCCAAATGCTCAGCATGAATAACACACCCCATCTCTAAATGCTTCTGATCCTCCGCACAGCTGAGAGGAAATGCAGACAGCGTAATTACAAGGTATGAATTTAGCCAAGATGTCACATTTCATTCCCGAATTTGGACAGACACAATGGACCAAGCTGCTTTATAAAACACAAGTAATCAAGGCCTTTTCTGTAAATCTCATCTGCAAATTCCATGCCCAAGCCTCACAACAAGGCGAGGAGCAGGATGTGAGATCTGTGGACAACAATTTGCGTACACAGACACGTAAAGGGGAGTTACACCAGAATCATTTCTAAAGCTGTTACTTTGCATTCTGCAAGCAGATTTAGGCTATCCTTAATTTTAATTAACTTCTAAAGTGAGCTAAACAAAGCTCAATTAAGCCCATTTAAACTGTAAAAGTCACGCCACACTCTCTCAGCAAAGGGCTAATCCTCCTAAATCCCCCAAGTCCTCCTCCAAATATTTGGTCTGGAGAAGCTCACCCCAGCGTTTCAGCACAGGTTCTTCCAACACAGCCTGAAGCTGCTTTGCTTTCAGCACTTTCCAGGTCTAGGAAAGCACATCCTGTACCTGCCCTGGCACAATCAACACCCCAAGCTTTCCCCTCTTCCCCAGAGGCAGAGCTGCATTACCCACCTTCAATGAGAGCTGCTATGTGCTGGCTTTTCTGGGAAGGAAGCTCCCTCACAATGTCCAGAGCAGTCAGGCCTCTGTTATCCTTTATGTTCACATCAATACCTGTGGCCACAGGAGTATAGAGGGCAAAAGCAAGAATATTGTCTGCGTGCAGGTTCATGTATTTCATCAAGTCACATCTGTGATCATCACTGGGGGAAGCTAAAAGGCACTCTAGAGACAAATCTAAAGCCAAACTCCAAGAGCCAACCTCTCCTATATCCTGCTCCAAGGAGCTCCGACAGCTGGATGGAGAAACCTGCTTCACTAGAAAGGGATTTCCTCAAGTTCTGGGTGAAGGGATCACCACATTAGTGCTTCAAAGGGGGAACATTCTCTCACCTGCAGCCAGCAATATTTGTACCACATCTGTCTTGCCAAACAAAGCAGCTTCGTGCAAAGCACTGCCTTTCTCAGTCTGCAAATTAAATGGAAACATAGCATGAAGCCAGACAGCAGGGAATGGTGAGGGAGGCATGGCTTAGAGGGTTACAGAAGCAATAAATACACGGTGTTGTACACGAGGTGTGGGCAGCACTGCCTACGGCTGAGGACAGACTGTCAATGTTATTACAGTCCTGAGGATGTGGGATGGAAAAATGGGGATGGTTCCATCAGAGAGACCAACAAAGGGCCTTCCACAGCTTGGCAAGAGGTTTCCTGACAAGGGAAAACGACCCACATACAAGCCATTGCTGTGAAAACATCACATTCACAAGTGGCTTGATAGGAAGAGACTTGTTTGCCTGTCAAGAGCTCACAGCACTGCAGGGCAGAACAGCTTCAGCCACAGGGTGTTTCTCTCCCTCGCTCCATGTTTGGGGCTCTGCCCAGCCCCTGCGCAGGCGTGAGGCATGCACAGCACCCGAGTCCCTCCGGGCAGCCTCCCTGAGCAGCCCAGAGCTGCACAGACAGCCCAGCAGAACACAAAGCTCTCCTCAGCTTCTGCGAGCGCCCCCTCCATCAGGAGGGTTGGTGGAACTCTCCAATCCCCAGCCACCGGCCCAGCCCCACTCAGACACACCAGATACCTGGTAGTTGCTGTCCATGCCAGCATCTAGGAGGACGTGGACCACTGCTTTGTGACCGTTCCTGGCTGCCAGGTGCAGCGGGGTGTGTTTCTTAGTGTTGCAGCTCAGCAGGTTGGGGTGGGCATTCAAGAGCATCTTGACCACTTCCAGCCTCCCATAGAGCGCAGCCAGGTCCAGGGGTGTCTCAAATTTGTTGTTTCTCATGGTGGGGTCAGTGAGCTCCTCCAGCAGCACCTTCACCACTTCGGTGTGGCCATGCTGGGCCGCACAGTGCAGCGCTGTCTCGTTGTCGTTGTTCTGCGGGGCACAAGCGGCAGCACGTCAGGGCCGAGAAAGCGGCCACCCCGCGCCTCGCTCCAATATTAAAGTTCAAATGCAAAAAACAAGACAAAAAAAGCAGTGGGGAAGCAGAGAGTCCAGTCTGAACCAGCCTGAGCAATGTTTCATCATCTCCCTGGGTGTTTAGCATCCCCCTCACAAGCTCATTGATTGGCCAGCCCAGCCACAGCTTCAGGGATGTCCAGAACAAAGCACTTCAGCTGTGGGAGAGGGACTGCAGGTGGACCAGCCTGCTTTCCAAGTACTAGGGTCAGAATCCAGGGGCCAAGCTGAAGTTTAAGGGATGTTGAGCTGTATCCAGATTCTCATTAATGCCGCAGGCACCCGGGGAAGCCAGTCTCGTATCCTGGCAGCATCCACACTTCAGGGTGCCACAAGAACAAAAAGCAGAATATAAGGCAGGCAACCTGTTGTGTGAATTGTATTTGCCTGAGCTCCATCATCATCATTTTATATTTCAACTTCAATTGTTTCAAATCCTACTTATAACAGTCATTCCACCTCTGCAATTCTGGCTGTTTAGAGAAAGGATGCACCCAGTCCCACGCAGTTTGTGAACCAGAGAGCCGTGCAATTCCACCACTGCAGGAACGAGCCAGGGCTCAGGTCTCAGCCACAAGGGAGCACCCCCAGCTGGAAGCCAGACCCAAACGAGAGCATGCAGCAGCAGCCAGGCTAAGAACCAGCAATGCAAAGCCCAAAAATGAGCAGTCCAACACCCCGCATGTGTAGGTGCAAAACAGGAACATGGCCAGATCTAACAGGGCCTTTTCTCAAATTAAGTTTGCCTCAAGTTTCTAGTTTTACTATTGTGTGCCACCCACAGAGGTATTTTGGTTTAAGCATTTTAGAAACAACTATCCAACAATATAATCCCCAAAAAATGTTTAATACAAACAGTTACACACTTCAACTGAAATAACTGTGGTTGAATTTGTCATTTTAACAACATTTCCAATAAAATACACAGAATGTTCTTGTCCTGCTGGAGGCAGCAGCACCACTGCAGAAGGGAATTTGATCCCTGCCTGCCTGCTGTGAGAGCACACTTATGCCTTGGGACACTGCTCAGTATTTTGCACCATGTCACAAACCCATGAGGCTGCACGAGCACTCGGATCCTGTTGAGGTGTTCAACCTCTCAGGCTCTCAGGAGTCCATGTCAATCCCCCAGCTGTTTGCATCTGGCTTTTGCATCACCTCTCAGCCACAGGCAAAGCAGGAGGGGAATGGGAGCTGGGAGAGGCTCGGGCAGCTGCAGTTTGGTACGGCAGTGAGGGAAGGAGGCAGAATCAGGCACATGCAGGGGGAGGGGGCAAAGCATCACTGCCAGCACGGAAGATCCAGGCTCTATCATGGGGGGAGGCACATACACGTGGACAAAGGGTACTGCAGGATACAGAAATCTGCACAAGAAATATACAAATGGAGTGAGAGGGGACAGAGTAGAGAACATCAGAGCTTGCACCTGCCTGTCAGCTCACACTGCTGCTCTCGGGCATTTACAGGATTGGCAAATCCCATTATTTCTGTTTGACAGGGTCGGGAAAGCAGGGATCAGGGAGCCCATGGCAGCTGGGCCCAGGCTCTCATCCTGCCCTGTGGCACGAGGGATCCTCACTGCCAAGCACTGTGGAAAGACTGGATGACCCCAGCCCCTCTGAGCAGCAGGTCCCTGCCCCAGAGCTGTGGGAGCACACAGCAGGCCAATGCCAGCCCTGGCTACTGGGGATTTCCTTGGCTAGGACTGTCCCCCTCTCCCTTCTCCCTAGCACAGTGTATGTATCACTCAGGGGGCTTTAAAGCATGCAGCAGCTCCCAGCACCTGCCTGAGAGCTCAGAAATGGCAACATAACATCATTTAAAAATGTAATTGTTAGAGACTTCCCTCATCTTCTCTGCAATTCAATCCAATTTTCCTTAAGCAGATTGGGGCTCCAATACCCGAGGCAAAATCCCCAGACTTTCCTCCTGCAGCAGAGATCACCAGCCAGTAAAACTCCCCTGAATCATCACAGCAAGTCTCTCCCAATTCCAGACTGTGCAGTGGAAACTCCCACTACTGCCTGAGTCTTTATTGCCTCCATCTTGGGAGTTTTGAGCAGCCAAGAATACTATAGTTCTTCCAGGCAAGGGAGTTTGCTCCCTTCCAGCGTCACCTCTCCAGGCACAAACCAGAATAGTGAGCAGGAGTGCTCAGACCTACAGATGTATCAGAGATGGAAAAGCAAAATTCCATTCCAACAGACAGAAGGCACACGGCTTCAAATTTCAGAATTAGTTAGAAAAATAGAGCACTCAGGAGGGCCAAGGGGCTGCATTCCTGCAGAAATCCTTGCATTTCCCCAGCTCTCAGCTGGAAGAGAGGAGTTGGGAGCAATGCCCGTCTGCAGAGCACAAACAGGACACAAGCAGGGATGGCTCTGCTTTCTTACGGGCTCTAGCACAGGTTTCAAGTCCTGGTACTGTGATACCACTCACCACACACAACCCTGCTGCTCCTCATCACATGCTCAAGTGGAGAATCCACAGCCCCTTCAAGAGCTGTGTCCGTTCTGCACCCCCTGCTCCCAACACACCATGAGATGGCTCCAAGTGAGCAGACGGAGACTTGGTTTAAATAAGGGAAAGTTTTCTGACCTGCAAAGATCTGAAAGGTTGAATGAACTGCCAAAGAAAGGCCACAGAGCTGCCCCTCTCTGAGGTTTTTGAGAAGTTGGTGGGCAAACCCTGGTCAGGAACGGTGTAAGGAAATGATTGTGCCCCAGAGTTGGGGAAAGTGGCTTCATGGCCCCTCAGTCCCACCCTCCCTACTTCTAAGACTCCTTGGTAGGATTTTTGTCGGTGTCTGAGTGTCCAGCAGAGTCCTGCCCTATTGACAACCCTTTGTTTGGCTGCTCCTGAGAAAACACCAGAGTCTGTGACATGTACAACTCCACAGGCTCTTTATCACACCTGGCCAGGAACTGGTGCAAAACTGCTCAGAACTTGTGATGAACTCAACAACTGTGTGAAAATCATCTCTCTCTTTTTCAAAACCAAAGCAAAGATTCCCAAAATCTTGTCTTGCTCTAGAGAGCACCTCAGCCATTGTGAACACTGAACTGAGGCTTTAAATAATGCACTTCTCCACAGTATAAAACCCAAATTAGCAGACTCTGTAAAGAAAAATTCACAAAAAAGGGAACTCCCTGGATATTCCCTCTTTACATTCCTTCTTCATTCAACATCCCAAAACTGGAGTGTGTAAGATTTTATTTGGTTACAATATTTTAGGAAGCTCCTTTCAGGCAACTGAACTGCTCAACTATGATGTTTTCACAGAAGACATAAAGGCATAAAATTCCCACCTGGATTTATAGAAAAATTCCTGATTTGGATTAGCTTCACTCTGAGCATTTGTGCTCAGAGGGTGGGCACTGGACCCTGAAACAGGGCTCTGCAAAGCCAGGCCTAACTCCCCACAAGCACAGGAGATCTGGCTGTGTGTTTCTAAGGTCCTGCAGACCGAGCAGATGGAAACTCTGCAAGACAGAAATCTGCCATGGATGGCTGGATCCAAAATAACTGGCTGGAAGCAGCTGTGGCACAGTGGCTCACGGCAGAGGTGTCTCAGGACAGAGCAATAGATTATCTGCCACACCTGGCTTGCAGATTCACTAGAAATAAAACTGAAAAATGGTGTCTGAGAAACCACCATTTGATCTGCTTCTTCAACAGCTCAGTCTCAGCACATTGCACAAGCTGATGTTGTGTCTTTTGTAGCTCGAAACAACTGAAAACAAGAGAGGAGCAAAACAGGCCAGAAAACAGGAACAGGAGACCACAGCTGAAGGGTCAAACAACACCACAGACTGAACATTAATAGAGAGACTGATGTAATAAGCAGGGCATGGAGGACTTGGGAAGGAAGGCAGGAACATCACTGCCCTCCCTTCTCCCCACCACCACCACAGGAATTAACTGTCCACTCAAACAACACACAGAGCATTATGCATTTGGTAGGAGAAAAGGCATCAAAATTCACTCCAAACAGCCCACAGAGAAAATGCAACCATGGTTAAGCAGGGGAAAAAAAATTCCTTCTCTTTGCATTTATCAGCAACATCAGCACATGAAACAAAACCTACAACATTTAATTGAAGTAACATTACCTTTGGGAAGTCATCCAGCCCAATCAAGCAAACTGACCATCACTGCGAGTCCTACAAGGCTAAGCAAGGAAGGAGCCCCCAGGAAAGTAAGGAAAAGCTTCCCTTTAATTATGTTTCTATAACTGCTTTGAAGAGAGAAACCCACAGTAAATCAATGGTCCCATTTTCCTTTTGCCCAAGCAGCTGCGAAGTGAACAGGTATTATTGCACCTGGAAGCACGCGAGTGCAGCTTGGAGTGATGATGCAGTGAAATGCTGACAGCAAAGTACACACCTTGGCATTGATATATGGGTCAAAGGGGCCGTACTTTTTGAGTTCTTTGATCTCAAGAGCATTCTACAAAAAGGAAGAGGAAAAAGAAAAAAATGTGATAATGAAATGGGTGAGATACAGCAACAAAGCAATGGGTGACTCCAAGGGGTGGAACGCCAGGACATAGCATCTTGTTCCAGTCAGAGCCATGGCCAGTAAAAGCCATTCCAGCTGGGATTGCTGTAACCTGGACCAGGCTCCAAGCACAGGCTCCTCAGCTGACTTCTCTCATTTAACAGGGTTCCTACTAAACAGACATTAATGAAACATTACCTGCAAGGATCATACTAAGCTCTGGATCTTCTGCAAAGATCACCCCTCTAGCTGCCCTACTCAGAGCAGCACATTTACACTATGGGCTCTCACTCAGTTCTTGTCTGATTAAAAAAGGTTACCTGCACTCAAGCCTGTGTAATCAGAGTGCCTGCAAGCTGTGCCTGTAGACATGATTAACCACAGCCCCAAACTGGAAAACTGTCACCAGAGACATCAGAACACACATTCGTCCTTATTCCTGGAATAAGGAATGATAGAGAGTTGCACTACAACCAGATTTTTCATTCCATGATGTTTTAGCAGCATTTATCCCTGGGGCAGCCTGGTGCATCAAGTTACCCGTCCTGGGAAAATTCAGTGGCACTTGGGTCCCCATAAAGAAGGACTGGGACTCCTGAGGCTGCCTCTGAAAGGAGTTTTCTCCCCAGCCTTCTGAAAAACTACTATGGAGCAAATCAACAGCACGGACTCCCCAGCTGCTCACCTTGACTGTGAGCTGAACTCAGGCCAGGTATGTCTGACCTACCTGGGAATTACCTCTGGAACAAATATCCAGGTTTAGCTAGCACCAAGGCAGGGAGACCTATTTTGGTTTATTCTTTTCCTCATGAAAGAACAGCTGAGTGATTTGGGAGTTGATTCACAGGGACATCAGATGTTCCTGCCTTAGGGACAGGACAACCACAGCCCACTGCAGCTTTAGCCACCTGATTTGGGCCTGTCACTCCGTGTCTGCCAGACTCACCCAGGGAGCACTGAGCTGGCCTCATTCATGAAACCAGTTCCTGTAAATAAAACTCTGCAACAACAGGAATATCTGGGCCTTCCAGCAGTAGCATTTCAGAAGTTTCCAAGAATTTTAGGATACCTCTGATGCCCATGGGGCAGTTCCACAGGAGCCAGCCCTCTGTAGTAGACACAGCTGTCTCATAGTCCTCACCCCCTCTGCACCTCAGACCAAAACTGTCAGCTTAACAAAATGAACAAATCCAAGAGGTTTGTTTTTTTTTTTTTCTTGCCTTATTGCAAAAATAATTCTTTAAGATTAAGATAGGGATTTATCTGAGGGCAAGACTTAACACTTTAAAATTATCTTAGAACTTACAAATTAGTGAACTGGAGCAAGTGCCAGAGACAAGCCAGGAGAGCAGCTAAGAGAGCACGGCCAAAGAGACTGAACAAAGCTGCTTGGATTAATTCCCAAAGGAGGGAGCCAATGGATCCTCTGCAGAACTAGAAACCTGCTCAGCTATCCAGCAGCTGAAAGGAAAACTGTGGGTTAGTTTTAGAAGCCCAGAAGCAGGAGACCACTTCCTAAGTGTTGAGCAATTCTCATATTTCTGCGTCTCTCTATAAAACTTAAATACCTTTTCATCCTAGCACTAACTCAGAACTGAATGTATTGCTTTAGGCAGTGCCCCTCTTATCCCACCAGCAAGGACTTCACAACCTCACAATTGGTTTGGGAAGGGTCAGGGTTCAGCTGAAGGAGTCTCTCTCCATGCCAGGGAAGTGATTCCATGATACATTAGAGAAAATCAGGCAGACCTGCTCATTCACTTTGGTGTGCGAAGGGCCCTGGTGGATGAGGAGCTTCACTATATCAGCATCTCCCTTCCAGGCTGCCAAGTGCAGGGGGTAACAGCCCTTACAATCTGCCACGTTGGTGAGAGCATCGTTCCTCAGCAGAACTTCCACGACATCCCTGCAAGAGACAGGAACTTCAGTGAGACATTCAGTCCTTGTTTCACAGCTCACATTCTACAGCAAGTACTGAACAAGAACTTAAACTGGAGTCTTTCAGAGACCCTCTTGAAATGTGATTTTTAAGTGTTCTTATTAAAGAAAATGGAAAAAAAAAAAAAAGGCCGACATGAGCTCAGGGAAGATCCACATTAACTCCATCAGCCTCTGCCATTAACGGCCTCTGCTGCAAAGTGAATGACACCAGCACAACAAGGGTGAACAAAGATTTTAACTCTATTTGATTTCTCAATATCTCAGATAGCAATGAGCAACATGAGATCTACCACACTAAAATTTCTTAAAAATGTGATATGCACACAAAGCAACTGTAAAGTGGTGCAGGCCCAGAGCACCCTGGACACCAGAAAGACTGTAGGGACTGTGACCAGGGGAGCTCCTTTCACACGCTTAAACAAATTGCTTAGAAATAAAAGGGTGGTTGAAAACCTCAGCCTTTTGAGATGAAAGATCACACATCAGCCAAAGCACTGACATTCTCCACTTCCCCTGAAGATGGAGTAGTGCTGCACCAGTGCCTCAGCTGGTGAATGAGCCACACCACGGTGGCCACGGAAACACAAAGCATCCACCCCCTGAGACCCCAGGCATGGGACCAGGACTCACTTGTGGCCGTTCAAAGCAGCGTGGTGCAGTGGGGTGTATCCAGTACTGTCAACGCAGTTCACGTTTGGCCCCCTCCAGATGCTGCAAGACAAAAAACAGACAGGGAACACTTAATCAAACACCAAAAGGGACAGGACAAGGGCAGGGCCAACACAGCTCTCACCAAGGTGAGTATCTGACAGCTGTGGTCAGGGGCAGTCACACAGAGCAGAGAAGAGGGGTCAGTGTGTCAGCACACGGAATCACTCCCCTGCTTCAGCTCACCCTCCTGCTTTCCAATCAGAGCTCCCACATCATTCAGCCACACACAGGCTTGCCAAAAAGCATCTTCAGAGAAACACGTGTCTATTAGACTGAACCACAAGAGACAGCAAACCATCAACCCACTGCTAATTCACACCCCACAGAAGAATTCTGATGGCTCTGGGAAACTGTCCTCCACAGCAAGAGTAACAAGGGGCGGGTGTAAGTCAAAGACTGTGGGATACAGAGTCTGCTCTTGGTCACCACTGTGATTCCACACTGACTTCTCACTGTCCCAAAATCACTTCCATCTGTCAGCTGTTGGCAGTCTATACCAAAGAGTAGGTGGTCTCCCAGCACTTCTAAGAGCATTAACTTCCCTCCCTTGCTCAAAAGTCAAGCAGCACAGATTTAAGTATTAACCCTGGCAAGGATTACTCTTCACCAGCCCCTGCAGGGTGTCCAGCTCACATCAGCACAGAATAGCACAAGTAAGAGGCAGGAGTGTGGTATCTGCTGTCCCTCACCAGGGCGACCACCCTCTCCCAGAAACAGGCATGAAACTCAAACCAGTACATTCTTATAAGCAAACTGGAACTGTTCAACTTTCATAACAATGGCCCTCTCCAGTACAACACATCACCTGTGTGTGCTGGCCTGTTTTACACGCCATCCCTTTAGGAATTACACGGGGTTTATTACAAGCCCTGACAATCCCACTTGTGCTAACGTGGTGCATCTTCCTGCTTTGTTTCCTCTGGGGGTAAAACTTAACAGCACCTCTGATACCCAGCTGAAATGGTATAAAATCAGCCAGCTCTGGCTCTGTTTGAAGCTAGCCTTCTCTCAGCAATCCATTTCCTCCCCAGCATGAAATCACAACGATTCACGTGGCCCAGAGGCTTTCTAAAACAGCAGTACTCACTGGGGGACTGCTAGCCAGAAGCACCTCAGTGCCATGAATCAGGAAAGGCACCAAACCAAACCAACAAGAATCTCGTGCAGACTGAGAGGAATTCCAGAAGAGAATGAAGCAGCAGGCTCACTCTGGAGCCTGTCCCTGTCCCTCCCAAGTGACTCCTGATCTGCAGAGCATTATAAAAGGCTTTGCAGTCCTGAGACGGACCCGAGCTCTGCTATAGGAGAGGCAGCTAAGGGGAAACTTTATCCAAGAGGACAGGCAAGTGAGCCACAAAATCCAATTTACAAAGGATCAGAGGCTTATCCTGAGGCATCCTGCACACCACACACCATCCTGTGCTCCAGAAGGATACACACATGCAGATGAAGATCAATACATACATGCAGTGCACCTCCAGTACCAACAACATTGTTCACAGGATGATGGCTTAAACTACATCCAGAAGGTCAGTGAGACACCAAAAACCCCCACTCAGAGTGTGTGGGAGTGCCCTGCCTGATCCAGCTCTGCAGTCCTGAAGTATGAAGGGGACTGAGTAGCACTCAGCTCTGGTTTGTTCTTGGCAGTGGGCTCTTGCAGTGTGGTTGCCCAAATAATTTATTGCTGGATTTAATGTGGCAATTAATGGTTAGAACTCATGCCAGAGAGCCTTGTGTGCAGTCTAGAGCAGTTCTAACATTGCACCTGTGCTGCCTTTGCTTGGGCTGTAACCCAGGCAATGCCAGTGTCCCATGGTTTTACACATTAAACTGACCTGTGTTTGGAAGCTGAGCTCAAACTGCTTGAGGGTGAACACATGAAAAACCAGCAGCAATTAACACAAATGCTTCTTTCAGCTGAAGTTATGAAATGAGGAAAACCAGGGTCAGTGGTGCAGTGGGCAGGGCTGGGGACCAGAGCCTGGGGCATCCATCCCCATTGGAGCGTGGTGTCCCCATGATAAAACACTTCCTTAGAAATCTTCAGGTCAATGCTTCAGAGTAAAATGCAAAGTTTATTCAGGGAGCTCAGAGCAGAAGAAAAGCTGGAGCCCAGGAGGGAGTTGGCCCAGCAGTGAGAGCTGGGTGCTGCAGAAACAAACTGCCAGAATCTAAATATATTTTTTTAAAAAATCTGTTGTGTCCTCTCCTGCCCTTTGCTTTTTTATTCCTGCAAATAAAGAAAGCTTTTATCAAAGAAAGGTCAAATCACCCATAAGATCAGACTGGAAGGATCCAAGAGGAGAACTGTTTCTATTCAGATGTGGGGACTGCAGTGAAGTACATCACTCCCTTCTCTCCTCTTCAGCTCCGCCAGAAAGGCGACACAATTCTCCTGAGATATGGAAACTGGTACTGAGAAAAGCAGAGCACAAAGCTCAGAACTCCCTGAGACTTTGGGCTGTTTCTGATTAAACAGAAACTCCAATCCCAGCACAGGCAGGAGAATGCTGTAAATACAGGTCCCCAGTAAAGGTCTGGAGCAAATTTGACCATTGCGGCTTTTTGATTTCTTTTCTTCCCCAATCATCCAAAAACATCTTCACATCAAAGAGGAGTTTTTGCTTTTACCCTGTGGTCTCTGTTCTCAAAGGATTACCCAGGTCCCACCTGTCCTTTGCTGCACCAGGACAGCATCTGAAGATGCTCCTGATGGCATCTGCTTAAGACAACTAAGACTGAACATTGAGGATGTCAGGAAAGCTCTGAAAACAGCAAAATCTGCTCCATTTATACTATTTATTGTTCTCAGCTGTCTCTTGCTCCATGATTCAGCAAGTGCTGTAAGCCTTAAATAAAGCTTCCTGCTTGTGAAAACTGCTGAATAAAGCATATGCTTTAGGTCACAGTAAAACCCCAAAGTAACTTTAAACAGGACCATATTGTCCTCCTGCTTTTCCATTTCTTTCTTCCCAAGTGCAGTAGTAACTTTTCTCACAAAACCACCCTAGGCAAGGAGCTAGAGCAGGGCCAAGCCTAGAGAGCAACGTGGGGTTTTCAGCTCAAATGATGAACCTTTGGGGCTGGCTTCTAGTCTCACTAACACGGGTTAAGGAAGCACCAGGAGAGCTCAGGGTGCTCACAGAGGCCATTGGACCCCCTGTATTTACACACCAAACACCAAAGACAAAACGCACAATCAAACACCAGCGAGCAAACACAAGTGGCTTGGCCCAAAGGCACCAGGAAGTTTAAAGCAGCTGAGCCTCAGATAAAGTTTGTGTACTTCACTTAAAACCTTAGAGACAAAGTGTCAGGAGGACAAGTGAGGGTTGGAGTTAGATTCCCTCGAGTCCATTGCCCAGAGGCCACCACAGCAGGTCACTCACATATCCCAGCTATCCACGTCCATACAACCGCTGGATTCCTGCAACCAAACTCGGCCCTCGCTTGGTATTTCCTGCTTACACAGGGAACACAAACAACCCAAAGGCTTTGGGCAAGGCCTCAGGGTTAGGAAGCTGCTAATGTTTTTCTCAAGTGTGAGGAAGGCCCTGCTGCAGCCACCTCGTCAGCAGGCAGGGTTTGGCATGGTGGGACTCCCAACAGAACAGGGACAGTGCTTCTTACATACCCCAACCCCAGAAACTACAACAGCTTTTATAAACAAGTGGCTGCTGCAAGGCTGGAGAAGATTAGAGTATTGCTGGGGCAAGGGACTCTTAGCCCCTTTTGGCAAGTTTTGAGAAAGCCCAAGGGAAACAGCTGTCAGACTCAGCTATCAGAGTGGCTGCAGAGGAAGCCAAAGCCATGAGCTTCTGCACTCCTCAACTTCTTGGCCCAGATTTTAATTTGCAATAAGTGGTAGATTTTCCTCGAAGTCAAAGGGTCATGAGCTCAAGTACAAGATGCCAGAATGCACAGGCAAAAAGCAGGGACCATAATAAAGGCAGGACACATAGAAGTGACCCAGCTGACATTGCACAAGACCACAGCCAGAACAACTGCTGCCAAGCCTGGGCTCTGTAATCAGACCCACTTCCAGCAGAGCCACTGAGCAGGGATCCCAGTGAAAATCATCAGGTTCAGTCCACTTTGACTGACACACTGCAGCAGTCAGAGCCACGCCTGGTCCTCTGCACAGAGCCAGACCTCAAGCTCCCATTTCACCAGCTCATTCTGAGTGAA